GGGGGAGGTGAGGGGGGTAGTATAGCAGGAATGGGGAAAGGGAGGGTTGTCTAACCAAAAATGTTGGTTCCAAGGATGAGATCTTAGGATTCTGAAGGAAAGAGTTCAGGAGTTCCTGGATGGAGAGAAGTGGGCAGCAGAGGGGAGGCAGAGCCTGAGGTTGGAGGGAAAACCTCGATCCAGATGAGAAGAACTCTGGTTGAAGGGAAAACCTGGGCAAGATTGCTGAAGCACAATCCATGATGGCTTGGGTTGGCAGAAAAACCTTGCCTGGATTCCGGGTGGACAGGAAGAAGCTGAGCAACTGGTAAGAAGGAGGGTTGCCAGCTCTTCCCTCCCTTACCTGCATCTGGCGGCAGGTAGAAGACGAAGATGGCCAGGAGAGTGATGAGGATGCATGGGGCAATGACATTGACCAGGTAGAAGAGAGGCTTCCGGCGAATGATGAGGTAGAAGGCGACTTCTTGCCGCTGTCCTCCCCCCCCCTCCCCTAGGATCCGCTGGAGGCTGGATTAGCCGAGAAGGCTTGTGGATAATTTCCCATTGGCCATTCTCTGGGAGGAAGGAGACGGGAGGAGAGAAGAAAGGGACACACATGTGGAACCTGTCCTTATTGCTGCCAGATATGGCTTGCCCTGCCACATCCTAGACCTGAGAGTGGCTGATGTGATAAGGCACTAGCTGTGAACACTGGGCTGGGCAGCCCATCTCTGATGAACGAGTCTCCACTTCCATATCTGCGAAATGTAGAGAATCCCACTTACCTTCCCGACCCCACAGGTTGTACTGGGCATTGCTGAAGGAGGCGGGTATTTATCAGCCTGTTAGAAACCGCGGAAACCATAAAGCCCAGGGACATGGGAGCCATGCCCACTCACCAATGAAGGTCCCTTCGTGAATGTGCACTTCCCGCCGCTCCTGCTTATCAGGACCCAAGCCGGTCCGCAGGCTGACCTCGGAGCTGTCATAACTGTAGGAACTGAACACCATAGTGCAGTTCTGCCAGTCGAAGGGGAAGTAGGTGACCTGGATGGAGCGGGGGTGGGGGATGTCACCAGAGCTGCCAGAGAACTGTTCGGGGCTGGGGGCGTTGGGAGGTCATTAGGGTCACAGGCGAAGTGGAAAGTTATTAGGGGAGGCCATGGGCAACGGAAGCTAGGTCACTGAGAAACACTGCAAGTCAGCGACAGTGGGCAGAGAGGATGAAACAACGCAAAATCCGGAGGACGGGAGCGATATGGGAGGGTTATGGGGGATAACGGAGGAGGGACGGGAGTCGCTGCGGAGGCCGTGTCTCGGAAGAGGCAGGGTTCCCAGGGGAAGCCCGGGCACCTGGATGCTGCAGCTGCTACGGTAGAGGCCCGGAGGCTGCCAGCGCACGGAACCATTGGAGGACACCACGACGTTCAAGTCCAGAGCAACGTCAAAATTCCCGTCGTTGCTGCGGGGGTGGAACCTTCTCGGTGGGGATCAGGCCCCGCCCTCCGGAGGCCCCCGCCCACCTCCCCGCCTTGGGGAAGATCTTACTTGTTTAGGAGCACCACGTCCGGAAGCCACACGGATCCCGCCGTGATGCGGAGTGAATCGATGCCGTCGTGCTCCGCGGGGTCCCAGCTCAGCCTGTAGTCAGTCCACTCCTGTGGAAGCAGAGGCTGAGGGGCTGTCTGGGACTGGAGCCTGGGAGGGGACGTGGGATGTCCGGAGGAAGCCGGGGAGGGAGTGCAAGGAAGGGGAGCCGACAGGCCTGGGCTATGGTCCTGGAAGTCGGGGTTCTGATTCCGGCTGCACCTTTACTCGCTGGGACCCCATCAGCCAGTTTCCTCTTCCCTCGCCCTGGGCCCCCAGTTTTTAGTCTGTAAAAATGAGGCGGTTGCACTAGCTAGCCACTAAAACTGTTTTTCAAACTGCAGTTAGCGACCCTTTAGTAGGTCGGGAATCAAATTAGTGGCCCCCAAAACATTGTTTAAAAAATTAGAATAAGAAGTGTGTGGAAGGCAACTCCCATAGTAAAGATAGGTATTGTCTCCTGAAGCTTCCGTTCCGTTATGTTTTCTGAGGTCGTGATGCAAGATACACTGTTACTGAGCGGGACACTGGAGGAAATTGGAAAGGCCGCGGGACGCCCTCTCCCGCCCCGTGGGGTCTCCATACCAGGTCTAAGTACACCTTTGTGCTCATCTCCTCATCCTTCTCGTTCTAGAAGGGAAAAGTTTAAAGGGTAGAGGTGATGTGAATAGAGAGAAATGAAGGGGCTCGGCGGGTCAAGCTCTCTGGAAACCCCTCTTTTTCTGAGTCCCTGTCTCTTGGCTCCAAGCCCCGCCTCCTAGATGTTTCATTGGCTTAAGACCCGCCTCTATCCCAGAAACTTCCGGCTGTCTACACCGCCAGCCAATCCAGCTACCAATCCGGCCCTCCGCCCTGCTCCGTCCCGGGCCCCACCCACAGCCCGTAACTGACCCAACCCTGAATCTCCGCCCGCTGTTGTTTCCCGACCCAGTCCGGCGCCAAGCTCCGCCCCAGCCTGCGACCCCGCCTCAAGGTCCGTCCCCCAGCCAGTCCCGTAGCCCCGGCCTCACTTCAGGGTTCCTCGCCCTACCCGGCTCTTACCCCCGGCCGACCCAGCAGCCACGCCCACAGCTTGTCCATTGGTCCAATTTCGACCCAATCTCTACTAACGGCCCGTCCATCTCCCGGCGGGGCCTCGCCCCAGGCCCCGCCCCCAGACGTCCCTCGCTCCCGCCCCGCCCCAAGCCCCGCCCCAAGCCGGACGGCGCGCCCGACCTCGACCCCGGCGTGCGCCCTCACCAGGCTGATGAGCTGCGCCAGGCTGAGGCCAATGCTGACCCCGACACGGTCCCCCACCTCCCGCGCCGGCCGCACCGAGCTGTCATAGCCCGAGAAAAGCTGCTCGCGGAGCCGGCCCTCCGCCTCCGTGCCGCGGGCGCCTGGAGGAGGAGAGCACGAAGTGAAGCCACCGCGCCCGGCCACGACCCCTGGCCCCGTCACTGCCCCTCTTGAGGCCCAGACGTACCCGGGGCGAGCGGCGCCCCCAGCGCCCCCAGCAGCAGCAGCAGCGGCCCTGGGGTCATAGCCCGGCCGCGTTGCTCAGTGAGTTCGCTCGGTTCGCCAGCGCAGGGGAAGTGACGAGGCGCCCAGGAATGTGCACCTGTTGTTGGGGGGCAGCCGCCAGCCCACCCGCCCCGCCCCTGGGACTTGGTCCCGCCCCAAGCAACTGCCAATGCCCGCCACGCACAGATGACAGACAACACTTCAGTTGTATAAATCGTCTTTAATTGAGAAAGCTTGGAGTGGAGACCCCGTCCCCTGGGAGCAGAGCCAGGGGATGGGTGGAGCCTGAGCGGGGTCTGTGTGGGCGAGGGGAGTATGTACCCCTCTTGCAACAAGCCAGAAAGAGAAAGAGAAAGAGCCTGAGGAAGAGTGACCTGCCTCTGAGCCCAAGCCCCTCCCTTTAGGGTCTCCTCGGTCTTCCCTGCGCAGGTCTGAGGCTACTCCTAGATCACTGGTGGGTTCCTGATCTTTCTCAGGGCTGCCCCTAGCTCTACACGCTTCTCAGAAAAATCTAGTCAGGCCCTTTTGGGGTACCTAAAGCTTAGCTGAACTTACAAGCTGTAAGGTAAAGCAAGTTCTATTAAGTTAGAAGCTCTGGGGTTATATGAGGTCTAGAGCCCAAGAGGCCCTCACCCTCCTGGGCCTGACTTATAGGGGAGAGGGGTGGAACTTATTGCTGAATTGGGGTCTCTGCCCTGGGGATCAAGGCTGTGTCCTGTTTGTTCTTTTTATTCTAGATCCATTACCTTAGAGACCTCAGCTTTAAAGGGGACCTGGAAGGAATTCCTGCTGAGGTAGCTAAGTGTTCATGTCCCCCCAACCCAGACACAGCCAAAACATGCCATGGGTTTGGCCCCTTGGCCATCCCAGCTTCCCTACTATGAGCCAAGGATTCCTTCCCAGACTCCTCTGCCCTTCCTCAGACTCTGTTTCCCTGGCAGGACCCCAGCTGAGTTACAGGAGCTAGAAACTGCATGTAAAAATAAGGTTAGCATTCTATATAGGAAGAATCGGATTTTTAGAAAATCTAGGAAAAACAAGAAGTGTTTCTTGATTCATCAACAAAGTTCTTAGTGAATCATAGCTGGGTTCTTTCCAGGGCTCACCTTTAATAGGTATTACTAGAGAAGGTAGGAGGGTGGCTCTAGAACTCACTCTATATGAGCGATGATATGGCTACATAGGCCCCGGCTCCATCTTGCAGGGAAGGGCTGAGAGTCGTGGTCTACGTCCTAGAGCCGAGATTCAGAAGGAAGTATGGCTCCATCTGTGTCTAGAACACCATGCTCTAGAATTGGGTGTCTTTGGGATAAGAAAGTTAAAACTGTGGTGATCTGAGACTGGTCCTAGTTCAGGCCAAGGCCAGCAGCTGGATAGGGCTCAAATCTAGTCTCTCTCTACTTTGAAACCAGGGGTCCATCTGGGTCAAGGACAGAAGCCTGATGGATCCAGAACAGAGCCTGGCAGCATGCCAGCATTCCAGCACAGAGCCTTAGTGCAAAAAGGGCCCTGGCTAGGGTGCCTGGTGTTCCAGAACCTGTCCAGAACGAGGCAGAAGGTGTAGTAGGGCAAAAAGGAAACTAATCCTGACCTCCAGTAGACCTATAAATCTATGGCTCAGTGGCGATGAAGAGGGCATAGGTCTCCCGGAACTGGCTGAGCCCAGGGTGCAGAGTATTTACGTCCTGGTTCTGTCAGTTTGGGAACACCCAGCACCTTCTTGGGAAAAGGCTTTGGGGGGCTGTGAGTGTGGAAGGAAAGAAGTGATCAGCCAGGACCATTTTCAGAATCCTCCTCTCTGAACTCCTCCCAGGAGCTGGTAGTCGGGGCGGGGCGTCACAACCAGCCCCTTGGCTCCCTCGGGATAGAGCACCTGCTGGGACCTGGCTGCTCAGGGCATGAGGGTGGCAGCAGGGGTGAGGGCAGGGCGGGGAGCAGGGCTGGGGCACAGGCTGTGGCAGTGGCTGGCTCCATGCAAGGGCAGGGAGCCTCCAGTCCACGGACTACATTTCAGGGGGCAGGGGGACTGGAAGGGGAGGTCTCAGGGACACTGTGGACAGAAGGTTCCCGGTACATGGCCACTGTGAAGGAGAGAGAGGAGCAGGAAGGAGAATTAGGCACAGAGAGACCTAGGAGGAATCAGAGCTCAGAAAGGGTGCCCTTCCCTGAAAGGGAATTCCCAAGGCAATTCCCTTGACCTGTTATGACAGGTCAAGCCAGGAAGGCTTTGGCCTTTGGGGGTTTGGGGAGCCCTCCTCTGGGAACCCCAAACCCCCAAAGGCCAAAGCCTTCCTGGCAGAGGAGGGCTCCCCAAACCCCCAAAGGCCAAAGCCTTCCTGGCTTGACCTGTCATAACAGGTGTCCTCTTGAATACCTGTAGCCCCCAAGTTGCCGGACACTCAACGTCCATGTCAAGGCCAGCACCCTCCCATGTGGCCCAGCTTTTCTGCAGTCCATACTCACCCTCTAGGAGCTTGGGCACAAAGTGGGCGGCTGCCTTGGTCTTCTTGACTCGATTTCCCTTCATGACTCGGCCCTCCTTGTCCAGGCCCAGGTACCAGGCCCGGCCGGAGCGGCGCTGCCGGTAGAGAGCAGAAGCGTACAGGACATAGTAATTCTCGAAGACGCATTCCTTAAAGCGACACTCAGCTGTGAAATGTGGCTGAGGAGACAAAGACCCAGAAAGGCACACAGAGACAGACAGACAAGAAGACATCTCACTGGACAGAAGGAAGAACAAGCCAGGATAGAATCCATACATTTCGGGCTGGGAGGGCCCCCTTCTCACTCCATGCAGAGGCTAGGAGAAAGGGGGGATGAGGGAGAGTCTGGCTGGCCCCCAATCGTTAGAAACTAGATTTCGGGAGTGCAGGGGGCTGGAATAAGAAAAAACTAGATGGGAGGGGCAAGCTCCAGGCCACGCAGCCTTGTCTCACCGAGCTGTAGAGCAGCCCCTCCGCGTTCATGGCCATGTAGTGACCCAGCTTGGCACTCTGGATGGTGACCACACGGAGCCCCACGGGGATCAGGTTGAAGTGGGCTGGGGGTGGAGAGAAGGGGGCATCAGTGCCCGGGGCCTCAGGCCCCCAGCCCAGCACCCCCCCCCAGCCCAGTTCCACCGCTTCCCTTGGGGGTCCAAGAGCCAGACTGAACACAGCAGCACCGGAAGTGCTAGGATGTCACCTCCTATCCCCAGCTCTCCCTTCCCATCCAGCCGCTGGCTTCCCCTCTCACTGAAAGAGCTGGTGTCCTCTGGGGTGCCCTGGATGCTCCCGTCAGGATTAGCCTGGAGGTAGAAACCCTGGCGGCAGAACAGTCTGGTGACGATGCCTTTGAGCTGAGGCTCTGGAGAAAGAGAGAGAGAGAGAGACATTCATCTTTGAAGATGACATCTCTGTTCCCAGAACCATTCCTACACTTGGCGGGATGGGAGGAAAGAAAGAGGGGAGAATGGGCAGGGAGGACGCGGGTCCCAGGGCCCCAGCTCTCTGACCCTCTAAGCAGGCTCCTTCCCACCTCTCCCTGAATCCGGAGGAAACCAGGGTGCGGGTCCCTTCTGCTTCCTCTAACCCCCAGCTTTCCGTTTAATTTATTGAAATTTATTTAAATGGCTTAATTCCTTCTCTACAGCTCCACCAGAAGTGGGGGGAGGGGAGAGGAGGGACGAGCCATCAGAAGGGAGAGGACAGAGGGAGGCAGGCGGCACTGCAGAAGGGCCCGTGTGTTTGTGGCTGTGGGGGGCGGCGAGGTGACCACAGGGTCGGGGCGCCCCCTCACGAGTGGGGGTGGGACCGGGCCCGACGCTGACTCAGCACCTGCTGCTGCGGCTGCCACGCGCTTGGCGCGGGCCTTGCCTTGGCCGGGTGCCGGCCTGTCTGACACTGACCCATCTGTCCGTCTGTCTGTCTGTCAGCCCGCGGGCTCGCGGGGCCCCAGCCCTCCCTGAGGCCCAGCCTCTCCCCTTCATTCAGGTAACCCGTCTGAGGTGGGGGACATTGGGTACCAAACCCAGGAAATGGGGGAAGGGGGGCCGGGGAGCTGGCGAGGCAGGCGGAGTCACGTGGGGGCCGGGTCCCACTCAAAGGGTGGGCTGCGGACCGTACCACTACGGAGGGCCGGCGGCGGAGGGAGGAGGGCACGAGGGGGCTACCCCTAGGGGAGCTGGGAGCAGGCGGGAGCGGGGCCAGAGGGACTCCTGCCAGTCGTGCCTGGACGGGGACCACGCGCCAACCCTCACCACTCTCCTTCCCTGTCGCTTGCTCTCGGCTGACTTCCCCGTACCCCCTTGTAGGTGGTACGACCCCCCCCCAGTCTCCGAGCGGGTCTCTCGCCCGGTACTGGGTCTGAGTTCCTCGCGGCAGAGGGTCCCCCGAGCATGTGGGAGCCGCTTTCGGAGTCGCGTAGGGGGTAATGGGGGGGTGGCCGGCTCCCCTCTCGAAGCGCTGGTCACCGAGGAGGGCGCACAGAGGGGCGGGCTGGCGAGGTAGCTGCAAGGACACCCGGGGGAGAGCTGGGGAGATTGGCGCCGAGCCAGGGAGGCTCGGCCAGCGGGAACGGAGCCAAGGCGTGGAGGAGCGGGAGAACCGGGGCGGGGGCGGGGCTGCCAGAGCTGCAGAAACCCTCGGGGTGACCCAGGCGTCCGGAACCCCCAGGCCCCTCCGCCCGGCATTGAAAGAATCGCGAGAGCCGGCACGTAGGCGGCGGACGGTGGGGGTGGGGACTCCTGCGTTGGGGGGGGGGGGGGGGGGGGGGGGGGGGGGGGGGGAGGGGGGCGGGAGGGGCGAGCCGGAGCCGCGAGGCTTCGGAGCGCCAGACCTAGCCCCCCAAGCCTTCCCCTTGCCCTCGACAGCAAGGAGACTCGGGGTTATGGGCAAAAAAGACGGGAAACTGAGGCATTGTCTAGCAGAGACTGTGTGGTCCTGGCCCACCCCCCTTTCACTTTCGGGGAACCCCCCAGTCGGGCCCCATCCTTCGGAGCCCCTGGCCTCAACCTCCCAGGCGGAGAGACCCCAGGCCCGGGGACCCCGCTCCAGCCACTCACCAGGGCCGCGGTCCGGCCGCGCGGGCCGCCCCCCGCACAGTCGCACCTTGGACAGCAGGATGAGGAGCTGCTTCTGGCAAAGGGACTTGGTGCCGCGGGGACACACGCGCCGCTGCGCCGACACGGGCCGGCTGCCCCCGGGCTCGCGGACCTCCCGCTTCTGCCGGATCAGGCTACTGGCCAGAGCCGCCATGGCGCCCCGGGAGGAGACACCCCCAAACCGGCAGGCACCTGGAGCGCCAGGCTCCTCAAGAGAAGCCCGCTGACCGGGGCATGCTCCTTGACGCTGGGGTCCCAACTCCCCGCCTCATCCACGGGACCTGAGGATAAGCCCCAGACCCCCCACCCCCCAGCCGCCAGCTGCCAGCTCCCACCCTTGGGCCCCGTGCTAGCTCCACCGGACCCAGCAGCCTACGTATGTGTTGACCCCACCCTGCACTTTTGCCTCCTACTGGAAACTGCCCTCTTCCCTGTTCTCCACCGCCCTTGTCCCCACTTTCTTTAGGCCAAAGTCGAGACCCTCAAAATTTGCAAGATGTGGTTCCAATACCCCCAGGCACCTTTCCACCCTATTTTGGGGACCCGCACTCCTGCCAAATCCACTCTTGTAACCTAAAGGGTGCGGGTCCTTAGCTTTGAATATATTAGCTCAACCCCCTCCCTACTGGGGCACTGCCAATGTCAGGAAGGAACCCAGCCTTGGTGTCTTTGCCACCCTCTAAGTGGAAAGGATCCCCCACTTTTTTCAGTGAAGTCCCCCCAAACTGGGAAAACCCAGGCTGTCCCCGTTCAGCGATTAGGGGTTCCCAGACCCTGTCTGGACAATACTTTTTTTTCACCAAGTCACCCCCATTTCTAGTGGTACATGGTTCCAGCTGCCGAGCCCCTTTCCTCACCTTGTCACCCTCCACTCCTTTTGAAGTCACCTCCAAATCCGCCCTTCCTAGTGGATACACCAGGTGGTTGTCTGGAGGGTCTCTGTCACCTCGAGATAAGGAGCATCCGGTCTTTTTTTTTTTTCCTGGTTGCCCCTTAATTTCCTCGGGGACAGCTGGTGCTGCTTAGATCCCACGCCCTCCAATCCAACCAGCCCCCCGAGAGGAGTGCACCCACGTTATCACCAGTTCCCAAATGTGAACAGGCCCCCTACAAGTCAGAGTGCATCGGAGCTTTCTGCGACAGGGCTTCTCGGCTTCCCCGGGACAGCCTATAGCACCCCTCTTCCTTCCCCGACGCCCCTCAACCTGTCCTGTCTTGTTGATCCGGCGACGGGTGGCGCTGGCTCCGGTTCCAGGCTCCTCCCTCCCTGTCCCTCGCCAGCGGAGCTTCCCCCCACGCCGGGCTAGGCGCCCCGGACCCCCAGCACGGAGGAAGGGTGTCTCCGCAGAGCGCCCTGGTCGGGCGAAGTCAGAGCACTGGGCCGGGCGGCTGGACCAAGCAGAGCGGCGGCGGCGGCGGCGGCGGCGGCAGTGGGGAGCCGAGGCGGCGGCGACAGCAGCTCCCCCTCCTCTGAGAGCCGGCCCGGGGGCGGGGCAGGGGGAGGAGACGCCGGGAAAGAGGGGGGGGTGCAGCAGGGCGGACGGAACCCCGGGGTTCCTCGGAGGCAGGGAGTGGGGACAGTCTTAGAGGCAGACGGAGCCGGGGCAAGGCCGCACGTCTTGGGGTTCAGAGAAGGAGAGACCAGGAGGTGACTGCACAAAACGGAACCCTGGATGGGAGGAGAGGTTGGGCTTAAGATGGATGGAATGGCGGACGCTGGGAGAATGGAGAAAGGGACCCTACTGCCCGGCTTGGGAGGGCAGAACTTGGGAGGGGACTAACTGCATAGGGGAGGGGTGGTGAGATCCGGCCCGGGTCACAACCCGGCCTTCTTGATCTCTCCTATTTTGTGTGAGCCAAAGTGGTCAGTCCCTGGTCTTCATACCTTCCTTCTGCGTTTTGTCGGCAAATATGCACCCCCACCCCTTCCCTATTGACTCCTGAAAGACCATAAAAATTGGGGGAGATGGTGGCCGGAGGATGCACCGGGCCGGGAGGGGTGCTGGCCACAGATTTGGGGAGTAGAGAGGCCAGAAATAGCACGACCTGTGCCAGGGACGCGGCAGGAGGATGCGGGGAGGAACCCGCGAAGGGGCCTTTTAGGCTGTGCTCTTCGGACCCGGGGGCGCTCAGTGTGTCTCCTAGGCGAGGGGCTAGCAGCTCCCGCCACATCCCGCAGGCCAACAGAAGCACTTTTCCACGCGGGTAGGAACAGCGTCTTTAATGGGCCCTGCCTCCCACCCCCGCTAAGCCGCCCCCCTTGCGTGCAGCCTTGGCCTCCTCCACCGCGGCGCGCAGGGCCCGGGCTGGGTCCCCGCGGAGCCGGGCCAACGCCCCGAGCAGCGCCGCGGCGCCATCCCCCGCACGGAGCTTCTGGCCGCTCAGAAAATAGTGGGGCAGTGTCCCGGCCTCGAGCACGCGGCCCAGCTCATCCAGCAGCCCGAGGCAGCAGGCGCCCGCGTTCTCGGGCCGCGCGAGATAGAGCGCGGGCAGCCGCTCGCACGCCCAGTAGAGCAGCGTCCGCAGGAGGTAGGGCGCCGCGGCCCGGGTCCCGGCCACCAGCGGGCGCAGCAGCGCCTGGGCCGCCGCGTGCGCTTGCAGCAGCGGAGCGGGAATGCGCGTCTTGAGCGCCAGCTCCTGGCGGGCGAAGCAGAGCTGCCAGCCGGAGGCGCCCGGCTGCTCGGTGTGGCCGCCGGGCACCAGGTAGAAGGATGACGACTCGGAGGCCAGCGGGCCGGCCCACGAGTGGCTCCGAGCACCCTCGGGCCAGCCGGCCACGGACACCACGGGAATCAGGTCGAAGAGCAGGACGCGGCGCGGGGGCCCCGGCGTGGCCAGGAGGACGGTAGTGAACCCCGCGTGGCGGGCTGCGTGGACCAAGCGTGGGGCACCCGGGACCGGGAACAGGGACTCGGCGACCGCGGCCAGTGAAGCAAAGAACCACGCAGCCACCTGGGCGGGGCAAAGTGTGGGCCATGCCTCCCAATCTTCCCACGGCTGTGGGACTGGGCTAAGGACGGCTGCTTTGGTGACGTCACCACTCAGGTTTTCCAGTGGGGTAGAAAAGCCAAGATCGATTGTGTCCTGCCCAGGCGGCTCCGGCCCCGGAACGTTACTCGATGATTTTTCCAAAGACACGTTTGGCTCAGGTTCAGTGACATAACCGTGCGGCTGGTCCGTGGAGCTTTGCCGACCCTTGGGAGTCCCTTCGCTTTCGGTTCGGTGGCTGGAATCACGTCCTCCTGGGACTGGAGGTCCTAGGCAATCCTGCCAAGCCTCCCGGATCGAGGTTCCGCCTATCTGCTCTGGGAGGCACAGCCACGCGTAACAGGACTCCACGTCCAGTTGCACCTCCCGCCCAGTGCCGTCTAGCGAAAACACGGGCACTAGGAGTGTAAAGCCGGCGTCGTAATGAGGTCCCCGGATGTAAGGACCTAGGGGTGCAGGTCCCAGATCCAGGGAGCCCTCGCGAATCCCACCACGAAGCAGCAAGAGCTCTGCTTGGGGAGGAAAGCGGGGGTCCCGACGGTGAACAAGGCCTACGGGAAGAGACGGGTTCGGGAGGGCATGACCCAAAGCCCGGGCGGGGTGGGGAGGGGCTGAAGGCGGCGAGTACCCGAAGGCAGGGAGAGTTACTTACCAAGCAAAGAGAAGACGAAGTCCTTGGCCCGGAGGAGGTCTGGTCCCGGCTTGGGCGCCTCACTCCAGCTCTCCTGCACACCCAGCTCCTGGATCAGCTGGGTTAGTTCCTGCAGCTGCGCCCCGGAGCAGAAGTCGATGTCCGTGAGCGGCCGGGCTGGGGCTGGGGGCGGCGGGCCCCACCAGGGCGCACTCCCCCAGACCGCGGAAGCCATGTGGCTTCAACCCTTTGGGGCTAGGGAGGACGCTTAGACGGACCGTTCCTTTGCTGCCAAAAAGTCGCCCGCGTTCTTCTTTCCTCCCGAGGCCGCGAGAGTGCCCCAGGCACAGTTCGTCAACGGGTCTGCAGCTGAAGGGCGCTAAATTTAGTCTTGAAAACGAACAAATAAATACCTCCAACGCCGTTGCCCTTTTCTCAAATGATGGTCCCCGCCCCCATGGAACGGCTCACCTGACTCGGCAGGTAAAAAGTAGCTGTTGGGCCCCTCCTGCGAGATGTAATAGCGAGTCGCCGCCGCCGCCCCTGGTCTACCTCCCCTTACCTCGCTTTCGGAGGAGGCTTGTGGTGGGCGGCTTCCCTCTTAGGGATCAGAACGATTCAACAGGTAACTTCCTCCTGTGGCCCGAGGCCACGCCCCCAAGCAGCGGACACGCCCCTTTCTGGAGGCTGTGCGGGTGGTTCCCGCCCGGCCCCGCCTCCTGCCGGAGATCGGTCACTCTTCGCTCCGCTGAGATCTCGCGCTGTCCTGGGGGGTTGCAGTTTGTCTTCCGAGCTACCGGGGCGTTGACGCCACGCCCCCGCATCCTTTCCTGTTCCGCTGAAGTAGTGCCTGATGGAAGTTGTAGTTTCTATGGAGATCAACTGTTCAGTGACTTTCAAGCCCAGGTCGGCCCCACGCAAACATTCCGTGGAGTTGGAACAGGATGGATCTGAAGAGCAAATAACAATGGGGGACATACCCTAGGGGCCTGGGGTTGGGGGGGAAGAGGGGCCTCCACATCTCTTGTGTGAGTAGAGGAGCTCTGGTCCCTCAGATCTAGGAGGGTTCGTCCATGCAATCATAACTTCATTTTAGAGATGAGACTGCAGCCTACAAAAATTGCACATAGTAGGGCTGGGCCAGAGAGGTGTTGGAAAGGGGCTCCCTGCTGGGTGCGGGGGCATCCCTTTGGAGTCCGTGTCAGGCAAGAACACACAGGTGGTGACCCAGGAATAAACATCTGACTGAGGGAAGGGCCACAGGTATTGGCGATGCCCACCTCGGACACGTGAGTGCTAGCAGGGAGCGCACTTTGGGATCTGCCAGCTCTTATATGTACACAGAAGAGTTACCAGGACTGAAAATCAAGTCCAGAGGAAAATCCCAACTGGGCTGGGGCAGGGCAGCCGAACACTGTCGGGAGAAGGAAATCGTGTTCAGTGACTATGGCTACCAGAGGCACAGCTTTAGTCCAGGATGAGACTGGGAGCCAGAATGAGAAGAGAGAACCACAGAAAACCAGGGACAGGCCCGCACAAAGATCAGACCGGCCCACCGCTAGACCAGGGCTTTCCCCATCCCCCCCCGCCCCCCCCCCACCACCGGAAGAACTATGTCCAAAGTGAGATAGGCCTACGTCCATGGCAAAGGACTGCGAAGGAGGGGACTCTCAGTCACAATGAAAACAAGTTCTCTGCGTTCTGTGGGAGCTTTGAAGATGCTGGGTTTGAGTGACAAGGGAAAGGAAAGTTTCTCTAAACTCTAAAGCATTGCTGTCCAATAGGATTTTCTGTGATGGTGGAAATGTTCTAAATCTGTGCCGTCCAATATAGTAGCCACACGTGGCTATTGAGCACTTGAAATGTAGACAATGGGACTGAGGAACAGAATTTTAAATTTTAATTTTTTTTCTTTTTTTTAAAGTAGGCTCCCTCCATGCCCAGCGTGGGGCTTGAACTCCCGACCCTGGGATCAAGAGTCACGTGTTCTACCGACTGAGCCAGCCAGGTGCTAAATTTTAATTAATTTTAATTAATTTGCATTTTAACAGCCACATTTGGCTTGTGGCTCCTGTATTGGACAATGCAGCTCTAGGCCTTGGGGATCAGGGGTTTTGCCATGCAGGAATGCAAGAGAAACAAGGGCAGGGATATAGTACCAGTCCTCATCAGGCCCTGTGGGTGGCCAGCATCAGGAACAGGGCTGGGGTAGATGTTCCCAAACAACCACAGAACACTTCTCTTGCCTCTTTATTCCTGATGCACCTTTGTCCCCTCTTTTTCCAAGGTCCCCATCACACACTGATATCCCCACTCCTTTTTGGCCTCCAGGGGGTTGCTGGATGCCTCTTGGTGACTGCGCCTGGGAGACAGAGCTTCACACTTGTCCCTGCCCACCCCAAACTGTCTCTGGCGGGCATCAAAGACCACATGCCCTACCCGGGTGCCCGACCCAGGGCAGTAGGGCTTCCAGTTGATTTTGGGAGGCATAGACATCTGGCGATAGCTCTGGTAGGCTGAAGGCACTGTATCCACGGGACGGTACACCCAGTCGCGGCTGCCTGCTCGCCGGGGGGATGGCTGCAGCTCAATTAGCAAAGGGACCTCTGAGAAGGTTTGCAGGTCATCGCAGATCATCACCTGGGGCTTGGAGGAGCTGGAGTTCTGACTAAGTGGGACAGAAGTCCATGGTAGTTGCTGTTGCACATCTTCCTTCCGAGGAGCCTCCTCAGATACACATGACTTCATCAGGCACAGTGATGACTTTAGGGTCTGAGGTAGGCCCAAGACTTGGACTGAGTCGGTACTTAGAGCAAGGCCTGGGTTCTTGTGGTGGTTGGGATTTGAGATAAGGGATGAATCCTTGTGGAGGCTGGATTCCCCAATAAGGCTTTGAGTCTTGGGGAGGCCATGGTCTTGGGTAAGGGCTGGGCCCTTACTGGGGCCAGGATCTTGATTAATTCCTGGGCACTTGTGGAAGTTAGGGTCTTGGATATATTCCGGGCTCCCGTAAATTCCAACGTCTTGCGTACAGCCACCTCTTTTGACTCCAGTGGCTTGTGTAAGGCTTGGATTCTTATGGAGACCGGAATCTTGAGTAAGGCCTAAGTCCCTGTTGACTCCAGAATCTTCCGTAAGGCCTGTATTCTTGTAGTCTCCGGAGTCTTGGGTGAGGCCTGAGCCCTTACAGAGACCAGAGGTTTGGATCAAGCCTGGGCTCTTGTTGACTCCAGAGTCTTGGTATAGGCTCTTCTGTGGGCAAGAATCTTGAGGAAGGCCTAGACTCCTAGAGACTCCCACCTCATGAGCATTACCTGTACTCTTGTAAATTCCAGAATCTTGAGAAGGGCCTGGGCTATTATGGAGGCCAGTAGTTTGGGAGAGATCTTGACTTTTACAATGTATAGTCTCTTGGTTTTGTTCTAGATTCCTGTAGGCTCCAGAGTTTTGCATAAAGCCTGAGCTCCTCTGAATGTCAGAAGTTTGGAGAAATGGTATGTTCTTGTGGAGGCCACAAGGTTGGGCGAGACATGGGCTTCTAAAGATACCTGCATTTTGAGTAGGACCTAAGCTCTTTTGGGGGCCAGAATCTTGGGTAATGACCAGATTCTTGTGAGGTCCAGAATCTTGGGAAGGGCTTGGACTCTTGCAGAGATAAGGGTCTTGAAAAAGGCCTGGGGGCTTCTTTAGGCCTCGATCTTGAACGAGGCCTGGGTTCTTATAGAGGCCTGGATTTTGGGTAAGGCCTGGGTTCCTGGGAACTCTCAAGTCCTTTGAAGGGCTTGGAGTCCTTTGGAGGCCAGAATCTTGGTTGAGGCCTAGACTCTCCTGAAGCTCAGGGGGTTGGGGTTGGAAAGTCTTAGAGAACTGTGGAGGGATGGGGAACTGGGAAGAGGGGGTGGAGTGAGAAGACTTGGAGGTTGGGGGAAAGGTGGGGGGTTGCATTGAGGTGGAGGGCTTCTGGTGGCTGGAGGGTTGATGAGGGACAAAGGATCTGGGAGACGTAAGAGGCAGAGAAAGAGTGCATGGGGGAGGAATGGTCCTCAGTGAGCTCTGGGCACTGGTTGGAGAATGAAAGCAAGGTTGAGAAGGTGTGGCATCCTTGGAGTAGACCAGGGATTTGGGGTGGACCGGAGTCTGAGAGTCTGTGTTTCTCCTCTCAGAACTGCAGGGATGGAAGCTGAAATAAGGGAAGGTCTTGGGCTGTAAGAACTTGTCTTTGGCATCATTTGAGATATTCCATTCCACATTCCCCAACTCCAGGTAGCCCAGCACGGAGCCTGTGGGGGGGGGTTTGACACAGTCCCCACTGTATTGCTTCGATGTTGGCTCAGCTGTAGCAGAGCTGCCCAGACTCTGCCCCTCTTGGGGCCTGGGGAGGGTGCCCACGTCCCTTCTGGAATATCCAAATTTTAGGGGGGCACACACATGGCACACATTCTGTTTCACCCTGCGGGCATCGTAGACTACGTGGCCTGTGGAGAGGCCTTGGCCGAAGGCAGTCAGGGTAGAGGGAATAGGAGTTAGGATGGGGGTACGGGTGGTGACAGAGACAGGAGTGGGGACAGGAGGGGTAGTCAGGGTCATGACCAGAGCTGGGTCGGGGGTTGGGCTAGAGATTGGGACAGGGGCTGGGGGAGGGGCTGGGGCAGGAATAGTGGCAGGGGTAGAAGTTAGGAGAGGCGCTGGGGCAGAGGTGGGAGCAGGGACCAGGGGGTGAGGGACATGGGTATAAGTTAGATGAGCATGGGCCAGAGTGCAGGCTGGGGCATGGGCTATTATGTGCTCAGGGGTGTGACCCAGGGGACAGGCTGAGGTGTGCACAGGGCCATGGTCCTGGGCAGGGGTGTGCTGAGTGTGGTCAGGGGTGAAGCCTGGGGAGTAGGTATGGGCCTGGACTGAGGTGGGCTTGGGGCCATGGACCAGGACAGGGGTGTGCTCGGTGGCATGGGCTGGGGAGCAGGTCTGGGCTTGGGGGGTGATGTGCTCAGGGGTGAGGGCTGCAGAGCAGGTACGGGCCTGGAGGGGTTTGTACTCTGGGGCTTGGGCTAGGGAATGGATCTGGGCCTGAGGCAGGTTATGCTCAAGGGTGTGAGCTGGGGAGCAGGTCTGGGCCTGGGGGGTGGTATGCTCAGGGGCGTGGGCTAGGGAGGAGCTGTGGGCCTGACAGGTGGTGGGCTCAGGGGCGTGGGCTCGGGGGGAGGTCTGGGTCCGGGTCTGGGTCTGGGCCTGGGCCTGGGCCTGGGCCTGGGCCTTGGGGGTGTTGTGCTCAGGGGTGTGGCCTGGGGAGTGGGTCTGGGTCTGGGCCGGGGCATGCGCTGGGTCATAGTCTGGGGTGTTGGTCTTGCTCTCGTGGCGCAAGAGGAGGGGAACCATGTCCACCTTGCTCATCCTGGGGAACTGGGAAGGTGCCTCGTGCCTGGAGTTGAAGCGGGCCCGGGCCTTCAAGGCTGTGACCTGAGGGGCCTCCCCAGCCCCCATCACCCCCTCCTTCCACGGTCCCCAGGGAGCGTCCATGGGAGCCCCGGCGTGCCCACAGTGAGGCGGCATCCAGCAGCACCGAGAAGCCATCTCGTCATTCGTGTCTGGTATCCAGGAGTTGAGGTGGTTAGGGTGCCCGACCGGGGAGCCCGGGCGCCGGTGGAAGCGGGAGGAGACTCTCGAGCACAGGTTCTTGGCGTCCATGGAGCAGTGCGTGCACATGGGATGGCCACCTGTGCAGCTGGGTTGCTTGTCTGCAGGGAAATGTGGGATGGGAAAGGGTCGGGGCTCCTGAGGGCCCGAGAGAGGGGATAGGTCCACATTCCCTCGAGGCCATGCTGGGGCCCACTCACCTTTGGGGAAAAAATGATGGAAAAGAATCCGCAAGGAGCTCTTCAGATGCCTCCAGAGCTGAGGGAAGCAGGGGAAGGGGGAGCCCGGACGGGTGGTGAGTCCTGCAGCCCAGCCCTTGCTTGGCCACATCCCAGCAAGCCCTCCCGCCTCAGCCGCTTTCGAACCCCAGAGCTCCCCCAACCCTGTTGCCCAGCCCCCGCCCTGACCAGAGTCATCACATTGATCCCCACGTTGAGCAAGATGAAGCTGCCCAGAATCAGAAGGATTGAGTCTCCTAGGTCCTGGCACTTCCTGGGGTTGGTGCCAGAGCATACTTGGGCTCCGTGGTGGGCTCGCGCACCCATGGCCGGGGGTCCCAGGACTACCTGGGCACCCCCTGGCCCCCACATACTCACTAGGAGCCAGACTCCTCTGGTGGGGGAGGGGGAGAGGGACTGGGTCACAATGGGGCGGGTGTTGGGGTCACAATGAGGGAGGGGAGGAAAGGGAGGGCGTAGGACCGTCTGCCCTAAGTAACCAGGTTCTCGTAACCCGAGTCCCCAAAGTCAAACGGGGCCGGAAGCCAGCACGCCTGCCCTGTGGCCCTCCTTCCTCCTTCATTCCCTCACTGCCCCTGCCTCACTCCCTCAAACACTCACACAGTCCATCCCTTCGGCCACTCCTAAGGCGGGGAGGACCTTGGCCTCAGGGCCTTGGCTTTCTCCTTGCCCTCCCTGGGGCCATGGCCCTGGATCTAGGCAGAGGTAGGACTGGAATCTGACCTCACCACGTTGTGTGGGGCCGAGCCTCTGAGCCCACTTTCAGATCGGGGAGGGCAGATGCCCAGAGCAGGTGCTCAGAGACAGATGGTTTGGAGTCTGCAGCTGCGAGACCTCCTTAGGGCACGGGGCGGGAGCCAGGGTCCTGCGGGGGTGGGGGGGGGGGGTGCTGGGGGCCTGTGGCCACAGCCACGCAGAGCCTGGTGCCGAGAAGCCGGGACCCAGGCTGACAGAAGAAATGGCCCTTCCAAGGCCCAGAACACACCACAGTGTTTCCTGGACTCCGTTGCTCTTTATTCCTGTCTCCGTGCCCTGCCCGCCACCCACAGTCGCCACGGGTCAGTGCACTTTGCCGGTCCGGCTCCTGTGCACGGAGGGCCTCGAGGCGGAGGTGGATGGCGGGGGCAGTGAGTTGGCCCGCGCTCGGCTCTCCTGCACCTGCCGCTTCAGCTCCAGGCTGTCATAGACCTGGTAGCCCGTAGTGCCCCCCGGGTTCCTGCTGAGCGGCAGGAAGGTGGGCTGGGGTTGGGGGACCTCGGGAGCCTGGACTTCGGGCAGGGGCTGGTTGGAATGGGGGAGCAGGGCCGAGCTGGGGGCCGGGGCCCGCTGGTAGGAGGTCCCGCCCAGCATGGTGAGGGAGGTGGAGGCCATCAGAGGGTGCCGGGTGGGCAGGGCCTCAGCCCATTCGGCGGCCCGGCGCCGGACCTCGTGGGGTTCCCGGGAGTTGTGGCTCAGGTGGCCCGTGGATGGGTGCGGGCTGCGGGTGGGCTGGCCGTAAGCGTGGCCGTGGCCAGGGAGGCTCCGCCGGTGCGCCTGGGGGGAGCCCCGGGGCACCAGCGCGAGCAGAGGCTCAGAGCCCTCCAGGCCCCGCCGCTGATCCCAGGAGTCCTGGAGAAGCTGGCCACTCGACGGGTAAGGATCATACCCCGCGGGGACCCAGGAGGGATTCGGGGGCAGCCGGCGGAGAGCGGGCAGAGACGAGGCCCCCTGCTCTGCCTCCATAGTGCCCCAGATTCGGGACTGGGAGCAGTGGGGCCCGTAGGACTGCAGCCTCAGCTCCGACTTGGCCTCCACACGCTTGGGCATGCGGCGCAGCTCGGGGGACAGGTAGAGAGAGGGTGGCGGCAGGCTGGCCAGGATCCCACCCTGGCGGCCCCACAGCCCCAAGCTGGAGGGCAGGCCCATCTGCGGGTAAAGCCTGCCCCAGCCGCCCCGTGGGTACTTGGGGAGCGGGAAGGCCAGGTCCTCCCCCTGCTCCACGTCGGAGTCCAGGTCGTCCTCGTCAAAGGAGGACACCGCCTGCAGCTGCGACATCTTGCGGCTGTGACGGTGGCTAGGGAAGGCTGCGCGGTTGTGGGGGAAGCACCCCTGGTTCTTCAGCCCCCACTGGTGGCCGTGGCGCCGGCGGGGGCGGCGGCGGCGGCGGCCGGGGCGGTAGGAGGAAGAGGGGTAGCAAGTGGGCCGGGCCAGCTTCACTTCCACGGGCTCCAGGGTGCAGTGGATGTGGACGTCTCGGGCCTTGGCGGGGGGCTCTTTGGTGGCACATTCATGAGCCTGCAAGGTTTCACCTGGGGGCGACAAGCGTCTGTGAGGCCGGGGCGATTGTCAGAAGAGCTCAGGGCTGGGAACAGGGCGGCCTGGGTTTCTAGGGTTGTGCTGGTGGCGTCGGGCTGGGGTGGGGGGTGTGTGTGTGTGTGGGGGGGGATGTCCCCGACCTCTCTTGCTGCCATACTTACTTTTCTGATTAATCCAACAGAGCATCTTGTCCAAGGCGTTCTGGAGCGCATGCCACATCTGGGGGTACGGTGGGGTGGGAGTGAAGACCAGGAGGCTCTCTACCCTCCCCCCACACACACCCCACCCTGGCTCCCAGCCAAGACCACACACTCCTGCGGGTGGAGGCTCCCCCTCAGCCCTCTTCAGCCGCGGGGGCTGTCCCCCACCATCACTGACCACAGTTACCACGTTGACCCCAATGTTGACGAGAACTACGAGGCCCAGCAGCAGAAGCAGTACGTCTTCTGGATCCTGGAGGTGTCCCTGGTATTGATTGCAGCACCCCGTGTTGTCGTACCAAAGCTGGTTTTCCATGGTGGGGGGGCCCTAGGGCCACCTGGGCCCCCCCCCCCCCCCCCCACCAGCCCCGACCGCACTGTACCATGCCGGGACCTGGGGACACCTACCAGCGGGGGAGGGGGTTGGGTCATAATGGGGCACATTGGGGGGAGTCACAATGCAGAGGTGGCCACGCTTTTGTCCACTCGGCTTGCCCTTAAATGGCCATCTCTGCCCTTGGCTGCCACTTAATGCGGCCCTGTCCCCGGATATCCCAGAGCTCATTCTTTCCCTGTCTCCACAGGGGCCTGCTTAAGTCACCACCTGATTCCTGATTTGAAAACATGGTCGCTATCGTTGTAGGACGGTCTTCACAGGGACTGAGTCGTCCATAAAGGATTTCCTCCATGTCATTGTTCTCTTGAGACATCAAGGCACCTTGTGCAGTTGGTCCCCTCCACCTGTGCCTACTTGGGACCAGCAGCTAGGGTGACAGCAAGAGTCCCCTCCGGGGTCACCGCACTGTGCCATTCCCTCCCCACCCTTCCCGTTTCCCTGTCATAATTCCTCTAGTACCTACCCTCCCCACCCCTTCCTGGCCAAGGATTGCAGCCCTATGCCGTGTGGTCACCGAGCCCATTGGCCCCCTCGCTTCGGAGCAAGACTGACTTCCCGCTCGCCCCGGGTTGCTTGCCTCTGCCGGGGACCACCCCGACCATGCTCTCTTCCCTTCCCAACCAACTGCCCTCCCACGGACGTAGCCTTCCAAGCTGGAAACCTGTTAGCTCCCCGCTTAAGAAAACCTCATGAAACGCACAAAGCACAAAATAGATGTAATTGTGGATAGGACAAAAGGAGCCTTCGTTTTGAAGCAGGTTCATCACTGGGGGCCGTGGAAGTGGTGCCCTGGGGGCGAGTCATTTGTCCGCACGGCGGGTGAACAACTGGACAGAAATACACCAACAGCCAGCAGGTGTTTCCCTCCGAGCCTCCGAACACATAGTAGGTGCTCGATACATACTCACTGAATGGAATCAACTTAAAATGATCAACAATGGGGGCGGAATGAAAGCGGAGGAAGCAGCAGGCTGATTCACAGAAGGCCTGCCTGGCCACGTTCCAGGAACGCATCTGCTACAGAAGGTGGGGTCCAGTTCCTTCGGCCTGGGCGCACCCCCGGGGCTTCTGGTTCCCCAGCCCTCGAGCGGCCGCGTGAGTGTGTCCATGTGCCCACGTGGGTGGGTGTGCGGGCGCGAGGCCGGCTCCCTGGGAGGAGGGCAGGGCCTGATTTTCCCGCTGCGTGTGGCTGGCCTGCTCCCGATGACTTCACATGGCAGACTGAGGCAGGGGGAGTCTGAGGGGCCAGGCTGACTCTGGAATGCAGTCTCCCTGCGGGAGCAGAGCCCAGAGCCTCTGAGGCCGCGCGGGGACTTGATCCCTAGTGTCTGTGTGACCGTGAATGAGTCACTTCCCCTCCCTGAGCCTCGGTCTCCTCACTGGTGACAGGCAGGTGCTAATCAGAGCAGTGAGGTCCCAGAGGGCAGCCCTCGAGAATGTCCCCGGTGTTTGGTCCTCTGCTCCGAGCCTGCTCGTGGGCACAGGAGCTTGGGGTCCTGACTGGGGGAATTGTGAGGGCCTGGACACCCTGCCTCTCAGCCGGCCCTGCTCAAAGAAACCAGGGCTTTGGAGGGGAGGCCGGGGAAGCACACCACACCTGGCGGCTGCTGCCCAGCCCTGGGCACCGGCAGAAACCAGACCGCCGAGGGGCTAGGGCCACGGGGGTGGGGTCTCCCCTCTAGTGCAGGCCTGCCTGAGGATCTGGGCCGGGATCTGGGGCGGGGGGGGCTGCTCTGGGCATGAAAAAAACCAGGGGAGTGGCAGGTGGGAATGTCGGGACCCAGAAAGGGCTGGGAGAGAACTGAGGGCAGGGCCCAGGGAAGCCAAGGGGTTGATGAGGGTCCTTGGGGCTCTCGAGGTCCCTGTTGCCAGGGAGACCCTTCGCGGAGGGACCGGGGCCTCTGGGTGCTGTGTGGGCCCTGACTCCCCACCCCCCACACCACCGCAGACCACCTCCTCTCTTCCTTTTATTTTTGTCCCAGTCACCTCTCTGCCACAGAGCGGTATACCCAGTCTTTGCCCGTGCCTTCAGCCACGTTGCTGGATGGGGAGCCCAGGGGGTAACAGTGGGACAGGGCCTCCACCTCACGGGTCAGCTCCCGGAGCCGCCGCCTCACGTCTCGGGCGTCGTAGACCATGCGGCCCGAGGAGTGGCGCCGGGGGATGTCAGGGACAATGGCCGGGCCCCGGAGGGGCGGCGGGGCTGGCGGGGTGGGGGCACACGGTTCCGGCTCGGCCTGGGCCCCCGCCCCGCTGTTCTTGTGGCTCAGGGCCTGTGGGCCTGGGGGCGGGGGGTTCACCGGGTACACGTAGGCCTCGAGGCCCAGCTCTGACCGCATCTCTCCTTTGAGGGGCCTTCCTCCTATGGTCTGCTGGAAGCGAATGGTCTGGGGAGGGGGCTCCACGGCATCCTGGGGCCAGGGAGCCCAGAACCTCTGGCTGGACTGGAAGCCCTGCCAGTCTGCCGGCTGATCCCAGTGGTGGGAGCAGACTGCCGGGTGCTGGTGTGGGGGCTTCTCGTCGTCGTCCATTTCGGGGGCCCAGGCTACTGGGCGGTGGACACGGCGGCCTGAAGAGCCCCGGGGGCGGTGGCGGCGAGTGGGTGGGGGGGTCACGGTCATTTTCACAGGGTCCATGGTGCATCGGAGGTGGACTGCAGGGGCGCTCTGCTTCGGAGGCTGGGGCTGCCTCCCCGGTGAGGATGACTTAGAAGCTTCTGTGGATCAAGGAGAGGCGGGAGGCTGAGCTCCTGAGGGGACGGGGAGGGGGTGGGGGTGGGGGTGTAGGGTGCAGGGGCGGGGGCTGCCCCGCTGTGGGTGTCTGAACGGGGAGGGCGGCAGGGGAAGGGGCCAGCTCCGGGTCAGCGCTAGAAGGCCGGGTCCCTGCCTCTTCCGTGCCCCCAGCCTCTCCCGCTTACCTTTCTCATAAACAATACGGAACACTTGGTGTAAGAAGCCCCGGAGTCGGCGCCAGAGCTAGGTGAGGGAGGACACAGTGAGCCCGGGTCGGCCCGGGCCACCAGGCCTCCCGCCGCCGCCATCCTGCCAGTGCCCTCCCGCCTGGCCCCACCCTGACCAGCGTCACCATGTTGATGCTAATATTAATGCAGATGATGAGGCCCAGGAGCAATAGGATGGAGTTGCCCAGGTCCTGACAGCTGTTGGTGTTGGAGCTGTGATACGAGGCCCACCTGGGCCGTGGCCGCTCAGCCATGGCCATGGGGGTCCCTAGGGCCACCGGGGCCCCTAGGCCCCCAGCCTACTGTACCCACAGTATCCACCAGGCCGCCTGCCTGCCTGCCCCAGGGGCTCCTGGGGGTATGCGGGTCACAATGATGCTGGGCTCTCCCTCACAATGTGCCAAGAAACAAAGTCTTGGGCGTGGTGGACCTTCCAGCCCGGGCCCAGGCCTCGAGAGAGGCCGAACCCTGCACCTGGCACTGCTGTCCCCGTAACCAGCCACCTGGCCTGGCCCCCACGCCCCCTGGCCTGTCTGGTATCTGCCCCCATGAGCCCCTGGCCATTCCTTCTCTACAGCAGCCTCAGGCCTCTGCACACACCTGGGCCCTGATCGGAACTCCCCACACCACCCTGCTACCGTGGCAACCTTACCCCAGCACCCGCTCCCCCCCTTTCTCCCGGCGCTCCAAGCCGCTCCCTGAAGTGGGCTGTGGGCTCGGACCACCTCCCTCTCCCTCACTGGCGGAGTGGCGGCCCTGAGGCTTAGTTCCTCGGAGCCCCCCACCGACAGCCCCCCATCACAGCAGGCACAACCAACAGTTAAATTTTTATATTTACAATATTCTCTTCATCTTTTGCCAGGTTTAAAAATGTGTACAGAGCCGCGAAGGGTTGGGGCAGGGACGTGGGATTGTCTGGGGATTGTTCTGGGGAGAGGGGCTGGGCATTGGAGTCCGTGGCTGAATCATGGGGTCCCCCAGCCCCCCTCCCATGCCCCAGTCTGGGGGGGGCATCTGTCTACAGGGTTCAGGGCCCAGGTCCCTAGCATTTCGAGGGCATGGCTGTTTGGAGAGGAGCTAGATCAGGCAAGGGAAGGGGTCAGAAAAGAACTAAGTTTCCCTGGGGGGAGGTAGGAGAAGGGACAGGAGGCAGAGCTCTGGGGAGCCAAGACCAGGGATCCCGGATTTGGGTGTCAGTGGAAGACAGCCCCCCCCACGCCCTACTCAAGTGTGGCACTAACGAACCCGCAAAAGGCCAGCCTCTACTGGCGTCCCTTAAAGCCCTTCCTGATGCCGTCCGTCTCCCCAGAGGCCAAAGCCTTCCTCCTCAGGCGGTTCCCCTCCGGGGCAGTCACCCCGCACGCCTGTCCTTTCAAATTCTCCCTGCTGCTGTCCCCCCGAGCCCCGTCCCCCGCTGCCCCCCCATCTGTCCCTCAGCACCGCTGATCTCAGTCCCTCCCCAGCCTGTCCCGGGAGGCCTTCCCCCCTGCGCCCTCCTTCCACGGCTCCTTTCCTTCAGCCCTGGCGGCTGATGGAAGGGGGGCCTCGTCAAAGAAGGGGATGGGCGGCTGACGGGAGGAGGTGCCCTGACGCTGACGCAGGGCGGCTCCAAGGAGGAAGACGGAGATGGGAGGAGACACACGGAGGCAGAGAGGGGGGAACGAGACACAGGGAAGCGAGGAGGGACACAGGCGGGACCCCTTTCGCTGCCGCTTCCGTCCCCCGTAGCCCACCCGTCCCCACATTTACCTGTCCTGGCCCAGGACTGGGGGATCCTTGGCACACTTTGGGGGTCTTCCCCACCCCTCAAACCCACCTAACCGAGTTTGGCACGGATGAGCAATGGTCTGAGGATTGAGGGAAAGGCTGTCCTCAGACCCCAGTGAGGGCTTTGGTCAAACATGCATGGCCTCTGTGGGTGGCACGCAACGCCCCCCAACTTGACACCTCTTGGGGGGGAGACAGGCGCAGAGCTCTGCCCCCAGGATTTGTACACTCCCCCTCCACACTCAGCTTAGGTCAGGCTGAAGTCTGTCCCCACCTGCTGGGCGGGGAGGAGCTAAGTGCTAGGCCTCAGGCCCCAGAGCCCGGGGATTGCTGGCGGGAAAGGGGCCGTCTGCATGGGAAAACACACATCCACATGCAAGAACATGTTTCCACTCCGAGACGCGTGTCCTGGACCCGCGGGAAAACAAGTTCCCAGGCAGCACAGGGACGCCCGCATCTCCTCCCTTCCCCCTGGCAGGAAATCCTACCCAGAGCACGGGCTTCATCTGACATATTGCCATGGGGGAAAAACATGCTTCGCTGGGGCAGAGGGGGGTGTGGGGCACCGAGTGGGAGTGGGGGGGGGGGGCACGACTGATTTCCTCGGTACCTTCCCAAGGGTCACTGTCCATGAACACACCACTTCCAGGGTCTCCATGGGGTGGGGAGGTGGGGGGAGGGGGGAAAGGCATGAGGGAACGGGAATCTGGGGTACAAATCCCCACAGGAATTCTTTTGAGGGGGCCAACATGTGTCCAGGGCGGCAAAAAAAAAAAACACCTCACCCTGCACATGGGAAAACACACCCCCTCGTGAGAAAGCAGGCCTCCACGTGGGAAAACACGTCCGAGTTTCCACACACCGAAGACTGGTGTCCCAATGGAGGGCACGAAACACCCCCCGTTGTTCCGAGGCCCCGGTCCAGAGAGGAGGACGGGCCGCTGGGCATGGGAAAGCCACGCATCCTGGTGCGGAACCCCATGTCCACCTAGCGCCCCCCGCCGTGGGGCACGTCCGGAGCGCGCGGGAAGCCTGCGGCCAGTCCTCCTTCCCTGCCTCCTGGGCTGCGCGGCCCACCGGCGGCGGCGGCGGCGGCGGCGGCGGCGGGCGGGGAGGGCTGGGGAGGAGGGCCTCCCCCCGCCAGCCGCCCCCTATACCCGAGTGGTGGAGTGGGGGTGCGGTAGCGTGTTGTTGTGGCTGGTAGCGGTGGGGGGCGGCGGGGGGAAGGGCCCGAAGGGGTGCAGGGAGGGGGGCGGCGGGGGCGGCGGGGGCCCCAGGCCGCTGGGCAGCAGGGTCAGGGCCCCGGGGGCCAGCAGAGGCACATCGTCCGGCGCCCGGCGCAGGGCCAGGGTGTAGTCGGGCGGGCAGGCGGGGCGCAGGGCCTCGGCGGGGTCCGCCCCGACGCCCCCGGCCCGCTTCAGCTGCAGGGACACCAGCTCCTCCTCGGGCGGCAGCTCGCGGCCGGCGGCGGGGAGCAGGGGACCCCCGCCGGGCACCCCGGAGCCCGAGCCGCCGGGGGGGCTGAGCCGCCGGCACCGCAGCTCCTGCCGCCGGTCCCGCTTGTAGTAGAGGGCGGCGAAGGCCAGGATGTTGAGGAAGAGGAGCGAGGCGCCCACGGCCACCGTGACGCTGAGCTCGGTGGAGTAGTCTCGGGAGTCCCCGGGGAAGCGGTCGTAGGCGCGCGGGCCTGGCTCGGGCTCGGGCTCCGGTGGCAGGGTGGCGGGCGGCGGCGGGCGGCGGGTGCCCGGGGCGCCGGGGGGCGGGCGCGGCGGCCAGCGCGTGGCGTAGGGGGGCAGGCGCGTGGTGGTGGTGAAGAGCTCCGTGTGCAGGTTGTGCAGGTGCGGCACGAGCTCCAGCCAGAAGGCCACCTTGTTGGCGCGGTAGTTGTCGCGCACGCGCGGCTTCAGGCCGATGTGCAGGTACTGCTTCTCCTTGCTGTTGAACTTGCTCCACACCACCTCCTCGAAGCGGTTGGGCTTGGTGTGGATGAACTTGGTGTCCTGCGGCACCGGCTGGTTGGGGTCGCTGCGGGCACAGGAGGGGGGTAAGGAGAAGTGAGGGGGAGGTCCCATGGTGGGGGTGGGGGAGGGTGTGTGTGGGAGGGGTGGGCAGGGAGACGCGCAGAGATGCAAAGATGCAGAGGGCCGGGACACAGAAGGAAAGCCTGAGAACAAGAGAGAGGCGGAAGAGACAGAGAAACTGCCCGAGACAGGCAGGGGTGAGGTCGGAGGGGCAGAGGCGGGCGGAGGTGAGGACCGAGGGGCAGGGACGGGCGGAGGTGAGGACCGAGGGGCAGGGACGGGC